GTAGAATGTATACACTAGTACTAGATATATTAGTTCTATCGATGAAGCTGTGTCATTACCTTATGGTAGCGTCTATAACCCCATTAGTAAAGGGACACAATCGAAAGTAAACAAAACGTCCGACACAAATTCCCGGTGAAGAAAATATCGGCGAATGTTTGAATGTTGACAAACCTGCACCAAGAACGTGTCCGCTGCTTTGATTCTAAAACTCCGATAGAAAAAAAACAACTGTGAGCTGTGTCTGCAAGTATCCCGTGGAGCCGCGAGCCAACACACATGTGTGTGTGTGTGTGTGCGTGTCAACAGTCATCCGGCCCGTACTAAGGCATCTCTTAACACGACCGTCGTCAAAATGTTACCAGACCACCCTACAGCCCCCGTCTCCCGTCCTACAGGTTTGGGGCCCTAAGTTCAATGCTGCAGACAGGTTTCGATTGATTGACTGCGGGCGGGGGAGGAGAGGTGGAGGGGCACAGGTAGTGGGGGAGATAATTTTTTTAAAAATCTATCGCAAAGTTTGAATGTAAAGATTACCTCCCTTACAGTCCATAAGTTATTTCCCTTTATTTTATTATTTACACTACACAGTAAGGACGCGTCATTTACAACAGGCAGATAAGGGGGGGGGGTGTCAGGTTCACATGCCTTACAGGTTTACCCAACCTGTAGAGAAAACTACTCGAGCGTGACGTCAATACCGTGGACTCAGTGTATCAAAACATAAGCAGAGGGCGTCGGTTGGTCTCGGCAGACGATAGGAGGGTTCTCAAACTGGCCCGCAGCAGATTGGCGGGAAAAGATGGCGGTAAACAAATGATGTAAAACGTGATGATAGTTGTATTTACTGAATGTCTACCCGGGAATCTAAGTTGATATATTGTGCTGTGCTAGCCATTCCATTGATAGAAATACATCACAGAAACGAGACATTACAGAGATCGTTCAAATAATTGTAGACGTTGTGTTAAATACATACATTTTGAAAAGGGTGGAAAGGAAGAATTAAAAACATTTCTGATGGACAAAGTTTTAGTCATTTAAATAAAAATGAATTATCTTATTCCTTAAGTGATTGTGCTAATGTGAAGTTTTCTAAAGAAGTGATAAACTAAGTGCTGGCATCAGTTACCTCGGTGACAGTTCTGGGAGATGTTAGGTGGTTACTTGCTGGCTCTAACAGCCATAGGGAATTCCCGATCTATTAAGTGTCTGGGGTCACTAACAGAAACAGCTAGTGACAGAACTTGTGTCACTGGTCAGAGTGTAAGCCTATGTGACATGTCTGTGACAAATGTCAATCTATATTTGACAACTTCTAAGTCAGTGTGTCACAACACTACCTGTATCATATGTGACATGTCAGTGTGTCAAGTCAACCTGTATGGGACACTTAAGTCAGTGTGTCACAATTCAACCTGTATGTGACATGTCAGTGTGTCAAGTCAACCTGTATGGGACACTTAAGTCAGTGTGTCACAATTCAACCTGTATGTGACATGTCAGTGTGTCACAAGTCAACATGTATGTGACATGTCAGTCATTGTGTAACAATTCAACCTGTATGTGACATGTCAGTGTGTCACAAGTCAACATGTATGTGACATGTCAGTCATTGTGTCACAATTCAACCTGTATGTGACATGTCAGTCTGTCACAAGTCAACCTGTATGTGACATGTCAGTCATTGTGTCACAATTCAACCTGTATGTGATGTGACATGTCAGTGTGTGTCACAAGTCAACCTGTATGTGACATGTCAGTCATTGTGTCACAATTCAACCTGTATGTGATGTGACATGTCAGTGTGTCATAAGTCAACCTGTATGTGACATGTCAGTCATTGTCATAAGTCAACCTGTATGTGACATGACAGTGTGTCACAAGTCAACCTGTATGTGATGTGACATGTCAGTGTGTCACAAGTCAACCTGTATGTGACATGTCAGTCATTGTCATAAGTCAACCTGTATGTGACATGACAGTGTGTCACAAGTCAACCTGTATGTGACATGTCAGTGTGTCACGAGTCAACCTGTATGTGACATGTCAGTCAGTGTGTCGCAAGTCAACCTTTATGTGACATGTCAGTGTGTCACAAGTCAACCTGTATGTGACACAGGTGAGACGCACCAGACAACAGACAAATACTGGACTTTGGTATGACGCTTGTGTCAACTGTTAATCAAGCTGTCAGTCAAACTATGCCACATCACGTGACCCACAGAGATGCGCAAATTAGCCAGGACGTTTGTCTGACCGCATGGTGTCTCACGGTCAGGTATGTAGCGGTCAGCGTTTTACTCCACGTCTTTGGGGAGTTTCTGATTGAGGTATTTGTGGCTGACCTCTTTGGTTTCACAAATTTTGGTGGATGTCTGTAACGAAATCACGTTTTTGTATGACGTCTTTAATTGATATCACATTTTAGACGACGTCTGTGTTTTTTCCACATTTTTGATTGATGTCTCTGGAGATCCTTGTTTTCTCTATTAGTTAAAAAGCGAAGTGGTCGAGCAACAGAATGAACAAGACACCAAACACAAAACAAGAGATCAAATCTCGGTGTTCTGACATGTAAACAAATATCAAATAACACTGGTGTTTAGAACTCTTGTTTTCGAGAGAATAAATAATATATTTGTTGTTTTACTCTTTTGATGAAATTACACTCAAGATGCTACCTTAAGGCAGATGAAGAGTTCATCTGTTTCTACAACGTAACAAATAAGTAACATAGAAGAACAGTTTCCAGCATTGAGTTAAATAATTAAAAGATGTGTGTGACGTTTTTATGTGACGATGTTCGTGACGTCCCTATGTGAAGATGTGCGTGACGTCCTTATGTGAAGACGTCATAAAACGTCCTGCCATTCACCAGTTAAAATTGCGTTTTTTTCGCGGAGAACTAGGTTACATACATGCATAAATTACGTAGCTACAGATTTACATACATTTACATAACTCAACTACGTACTGGGTTTGATTTATCAAATAAGATGGGGGGGGGGGGGTGCTACAGTAAGGTGTGTGTGGAGGGGGGGGGGTGTAAGAAATGTAAAAAATTAAAATGTTGAATAGTGCGTGGGTTCATAAGGGAATAAAAACAAGTTGAAGAGTGAATGTTGCATAGGTCAAGAGATGCCTTTAGCGACCATGTGTACATTCCAAGTCTCTGGCCAGCCGTACGATGACATAGAGCCAGCAAACAAAATCAAAGTGTCTTTTAGATGAAGTCATGCATAGCCAATGGAGCGGTGAACCCGCCGTACATTCCTGCCGCCCGCCGCGCTATACAAGCGCCGTGACGCGTGCGTACAAGGGAAACGAAGGGAGAGAATCGAGGGGTAAGAGAGATAACTGCAAATAAAGGGAGGTTACCGTGCGTCAGAAGTAGGTGGGAATGATGAAACAGATAGTTGCACCGATGTAGCCGTTGGTGTAGAGTGTAGAGTAATGAAATGGTTTCATTAAATGATTAGATCGTTGTTCGACACAATAACGGGATGAATGCAAGTCGCCGTGGTGGTATCAGGTTCATATTGTAATTTTGTCATTTCCACTACATAAAGTAGTACCTAAAGAAAAGAAAGGCCTACCTATTGTGTATTTTTAAATATAGTTTATAACTTTTAAATAAACATCCAATACAGAAATAAATTGGGTATCCTGTAGCATCCTAATCCGTGTTAAAATGTGGTAAAAGAGAGTTTGGTTTATTTTTAGACTCTGTAAAAGACACTAAAGACACGGAGGCTGTAGGACATAAATAGTTCGTGTCACGTGACTGTTTGCTCTCCCTGTGTTGGCAGAGTTGCGGCCCGTGCGCGGGTCCTTGTCGTGAGGGTGTTAAAACTGACTGGGACGGTGGGAGAAAAGGGGGGGGGGGGGAGGGGATGGTAGAAGGTTCAGGTGATTTAGGTTTGGGGTGACAAAAGGGTGGTGGGGGTGCGTGACCCACAACTTAGGACATAGATGTGATGGCCATTTTGATGCTATGCTCGTGTTGTCATGGATACGAGGAAAGAAAGGTAAGTGAGAGGAAATAAGCAAATAGGGTTGACTGGTCGCTAGAATTTCAAGGGCCGCTAATCTCACGTGATTGTAAGGGAGATAACTTGTAAGAGAAATCTACCTAAAACATATCCATAGTGAAAATGAAAGACTACAGTATAAATGTTTAGTTCTACCGACAATTCAAATACAAAATAATTTAAATGAAACCTTTTTACAACTGCTGTACACAAATAAAAGATAGGAGAGTGTATTAAAAAAAAATGTATACACGATTTATACACCATGATTCATGTCATTAAGCATGTTAAATAAAAACTTGTAACTTTAGAAATGAGAGTACTGAAAATTCTGTTAATTTTTATGGTGGAGTGTTTACCTACTTTCAGTATCGGACAAAATAAATATGGACAAGCCCTGTCGGTTAGAGAATATGAACTAAAACGGTTCTTGGGTCTAAAAATAGACGAAGCGCACGTGCCCTAACATAATGATGATGCTGGCGTGTCTAGATACGGCACACAATGAATATGCATGCCGGGTATCGACAAACATTTATGATACAACAAATCAATACACGAAAACATTATTTGAAACATATAGAAATGATCTAGAACTACATTAAAAAAGAAATTCTTAAAGTAAACTGAAATAAAAAAAAAAATTATCTACTTAAAGGTTATAATGTTAACATAGATAAATAAATATACTGTGGTAAATGTGGATCTAACTGTAAAATTTGAAGTTTAATACAATCATTTCATTCACCAAAGCAGATTAATATATTAGTAAGATTAGTAGGTCTACTAATTAAGCATTAAAATAATTATAAGCTTAATAGTTAGCAAGCAAAAGATAAGCCAATTGTAAAGAAAAAAAACATTAGAATCGTGATGGCAATGAACTGAAAGGATATAAATAAATAAAGGCTGCAAAGATGAGAAAAAAATGGAAGAAATCGGTATTAGAAATGAGGTCAAACTTACCAGGAAACGGTGTCAAGCCAAATGTGTCGTCTGATGCGTGGGAATAAAAAATGGATTGGATACAATTTTGTTAGTCAACAATAAAAGACACTATTTAAAATTAAAGTTAAGTGTACAAGAATTACAACGATAATTTAGAAGCTAAAGTTAACATGGGGTTATGTCAGTGTTTTTTAAACACGTTTAGACGAAAATTGAAACAGCACCATTTGGTTCTATTGAAGTTTTTTTGTTGTTGATATTTTGAAGATGTCTTGTGATCATTCTAGCAAGAATTTCTTTTATTGTAGAGGGAAATTATATCGGTTTTCTGGGCCACCACTAGCCCAGGCCGCAGCCAGTCTAGTGGTGCCACTAACCCAGGCCGCAGCCAGTCTAGTGGTGCCACTAACCCAGGCCGCAGCCAGTCTAGTGGTGCCACTAACCCAGGCCGCAGCCAGTCTAGTGGTGCCACTAACCCAGGCCGCAGCCAGTCTAGTGGTGCCACTAACCCAGGCCGCAGCCAGTCTAGTGGTGCCACTAACCCAGGCCGCAGCCAGTCTAGTGGTGCCACTAACCCAGGCCGCAGCCAGTCTAGTGGTGCCACTAACCCAGGCCGCAGCCAGTCTAGTGGTGCCACTAACCCAGGCCGCAGCCAGTCTAGTGGTGCCACTAACCCAGGCCGCAGCCAGTCTAGTGGTGCCACTAACCCAGGCCGCAGCCAGCCTAGTGGTGCCACTAACCCAGGCCGCAGCCAGTCTAGTGGTGCCACTAACCCAGGCCGCAGCCAGTCTAGTGGTGCCACTAACCCTGGGGCCACCACTAGCCCTGGGCTGCCCTTAATGAAAGTATAGATCACTGAGCTAAACAACTTTGATATAATCTGACGAGCGGTCCGACAAAAAGACATCTCACAAGAAGGAGTAAACACAGTCGAGTAGACTACTGGCTCCATCTACTCATACGAGTAAGCTACTGACTCCCCCACGAGTAAACTCCTTCCCCCCTGCCCCCCTCCCTACACACACGAATAAACTACTGCCCCCCCCCCCCCTACACCACTGGCACCAACAACTAAGCCGACCACTGTCTACCACCGTTAAGTCTCTCTAGTTTATTTTCTCTGTTCACGCTGTACATCTATAAAACCAGATATCCCATAATTCTTCAGTAAAACCAGATATCCCATAATTCTACAGGGGACATGATCACATCCTGTCTTTAGTGGGCGGAACTGGATATTATCGATTGTGTTAATTACTCTCCTGTAGGTTAATTACACGCCCGTAGGTTAATGCAGAGGCGTAGCGACCCTTCCCGGCGCCCGGGGCGAACTTTCAATTTGGCGCCCCCCCCCCGCTTATATATATATATATATATATATATATATATATATATATATATATATATATATATATATATATATATATATATATACATGTGTGTGTGTGTATATAATTGTGTGTGTGTGATAGTGTGTTTATATATAAGCTTGTGTGTGGGTAAGAGTGTATTTGTGTGTGTAAGCGTGTGTGTAAGCGTGTATGCTACAGTCCGGACAAGGTTTAATAATTACATTGTATGATTTTCATTCCTTAAAACTTTACGATAATTTAATTCCCATTAAGATGCGTTTAATTTTTTTTGCGAAAGATTAGTAATGTCAGTAAAAAAAATAAGCCTGATCTGTGTTAGAGGGTAGTTTGTAGCTAACGCTAATATGTTTAGACCAGCCTTTTATGTTCTAGTTTTGGAACGATCTCTGTTGTGATATGGTACATAGTTGGATTCGAAGTTTGTTAGAGTAAGGACACACAAGTGACATACAAGAAGAAGTTATCAGAAATATTTATTGTTCACATTGGAATACGACATGGGTATTTCGTTGATTGGTTGATGGTATGACAAAACAAGCTAGAGAAAACAAACTGGAATCCAACGGATGTTAACAGCTCGTAGTCTTGGATTTCGCAGATTTGCCCTGCCTTCTCGCACACAGAGTTTCTTCCAGGCATCTCTGGGGGGGGGGGGGGGGGGGGCGAAGCCCCCCGAAAAAATTTTACCGCCCCCCCCCCTCGATCGAAATGAAATTTATATAATTTATATATAGAAAATATATACGTTTAACAGTGTCCGCCCCCCCCCCCCCGAAGAAAGTCTACCGCCCCCCCCCCCCCCCCTCGAAAATTTCAAGTGCCTCCCCCGGAGAAAAAAGTCTGGAAGAAACACTGCTCGCACAACGTCAACAACACATGCAGAACTAATTGTATTGATTGAAGAAGCAGTAACAATCAATTTAATGATAGCCCATGACGTTCTGATTATAACAGCAGCAATAAAACGCGTTTTAACACTCTAAGAAAATGTAGAATTCAAATGCATTGTCAAAAAAATTCAATCAGGATCTATAACTAAATGTGGTCTCTTTTACTGTATGGCTTGGAGCTAGATTACAGACAGTGGAGAATGAAATAAGAGCATGGAAAAAAGTGGTGGTTAGTGGCTTAGGGATTCAAGAATCCGTGATATTTAGTTCTCTTTAATATAGTTCAGTGATCCAGGTAAGATGTAATGCAATCAATCAAAAGTATCTGATCTCTCACGTTGAAGTTGAGAGAATCGTAAGAATCTTACAAAGAACTAGTCGCGTCTTTTTTTAAAACAAAACTGGCTATTGAAATTGTACATTACGCGTTAATACACTTGGTTTCTTTACTAAGTGTTAAGAGAGTTATCTACTCACCAATCCAGTACAAATACTTGCGATTTTTGTTAGCGAAAAAAGCGCCCCCCCACACACACTCATCACAACCATCTTGGACAAAGTTTGTAGAGCGGTTTTTAACGTAACTAACTTTTTAAAAAAATGTTACACAATTATTCAATGCACAGTACAATTCGTTTCTTTCTGAGAGCTAAAGGTTGTTTACTCAGAATCCTGTGTAATTTTGCTATTTTATTTAGCCTAAAAGCGCCCCCCTGCACCATCTTGATAAAAGTCACTAACGTATTTTACAGTTCAACAATCGTACAAAACGTTTTAATACAATTGGTTTCTTTTAACAGCGGTAACGTTTATCGACTCAACAATCTAGTGTAAATTCTTCCGTTTTAAGTCTCGAACAAGCGCCCCCCCCCCCTACATCTAGGAAAAGCTTCAAAGCGGTTTTGCCGGTCACTGTTTCTTAAGAGTATATGTTTTACATTAAGAAATCAAGGTAGAATACAGTTAAATCAGTATGTAAAGGCGTGTAGCCATTACATTTCTTAACTTAGACAGTTTATAATTCAAAACTGCAGCATAAAATCAGCTTTAAAAAATTGTTCCCACCCCTTTTGGCGCCCCCATAGGGTCGGCGCCCGGGGCGGCCGCCCCCCCCCCCGCCCCCCCCTAGCTACGCCTCTGGGTTAATGTAACCGTTGCATGATGGATAAGGATTAGCAGAGAGAGGCTGTGTGTAATTATTGATGGGGGGGGGAGTGGGTCAAGTTTGAGTGGGCTTTAAGTTTAGAGCTGTTTTAATTAATGACATTTTATCAATCATAGGTGAGCAGCTTCGTGTAATTACTGAAGTACTTGGGCATCACTAGAGCAGTATTTACATAAGTAGTGCAGTAATTGAATACACAATGAGAGTAACATCTGCAACCACTGGTAGTTTTTTTGCAAGCAGTAATTTTTTTTTACTGTTAATAGAGTCGAAGTTCATTTTTGTTTTTAAATCTACGAAATGAAAAATGTCAGTTTAAAAACTGCAATATATCCGTCTAAAAGTGTACAGATGATTGTAACAATTGCTTGAAAGTAAACATTATTGATGTCTTTTTTTTTTTTTATATGCCAGAAACTAGAACTGAATTTTGCTGATTAATAAAGTAAAGAAATGCATATTTTGAAGAATAAATGTAAAATAATAATTATTAAGATATGAAAAACAAATTTACTTTTAATAGTACTCAAAGAAAAATTAGTGTTATTAGAATTAATCAAACTTTGCGCTTACACAATCTGACATTCAAAAACACTTTTTATTAAAAAAAAAAAAAAAAGCGAAAGACAAAAACCTAACTGCATGTAGAAATTGTGCACGTTAAATATTTTCGTTATTATCCCCCTTGTTGTACACTGCGTATGGTGATAATTTTAAAAAAATTACTTCCCCTTATTTCTGTCATGTTTAAATGTTTACATCCCTTCTGTGTGATCACGTGATGTCAATAAACTAAATGAGAGCTCTTGTCTAGTTAGGCTGGGGGGGGGGGGGGGGGGGCAAGTTTGGAGCAAATGAGAGCACTTTAAGGGAGGGGTGGGACCAAACTGATCGAGGAGATAGATTATTGGTAGACCGCACGCGCATGTTTATTTACACCTGCGAGAGCACACACACACACACACACATGAACTACTCACACACACATAAACTACTCACACACGCGCACATGAACTACGCATACACACACACACACGAACTCACGAACTACTCACACTCGCTTGTAAACAATCTGAGCTCACGACTTGAGGTAACCAGCTGATGGTGGGTGGGGGAGGGATGGTACTGGAATTGATGGGGATGGGGTGCTGGACGTGTGTGTGTGTGGGTGGGGTGTTGGGGGTGGGTGCGGCTGGGTAACAAGCTGATGGAGGTTGCTACACTTGCTTGGGCTGTTACCAATTGTTATGGGTCCTGATTATCAAAGTTTGTTGCCTATGGGTCCTGATTATCAAAGTTTGTTGCCTATGGGTCCTGATTATCAAAGTTTGTTGCCTATGGGTCCTGATTATCAAAGTTTGTTGCATATGGGTCCTGATTATCAAAGTTTGTTGCCTATGGATCCTGATTATCAAAGTTTGTTGCCTATGGGTGCTGATTATCAAAGTTTGTTGCCTATGGGTCCTGATTATCAGTCCTCACCCCACAACTGCGTGTAAGGTGGTGGGGGGGGGGGGGGAAGGTAATGTGCATTATCAATCGACTTGCCCAACGGACCGTAACGAGTTGCCGGCTATTTCCATATCAATCAGCCTGTAGAGTAGTGCCGTTAGAAGATGGCTGCACTGGTGAGGTGAACATAGCGTGGTACCGCTAGATGTGACGGGCAGCGTGCTGACCATAGCGTGGTACCGCTAGATGTGACGGGCAGCGTGCTGACCATAGCGTGGTACCGCTAGATGTGACGTGCAGCGTGCTGACCATAGTGTGGTACCGCTAGATGTGACGGACAGCGTGCTGACCATAGTGTGGTACCGCTAGATGTGACGGGCAGCCTGCTGACCATAGTGTGGTACCGCTAGATGTGACGGACAGCGTGCTGACCATAGTGTGGTACCGCTAGATGTGAAGGGCAGCGTGCTAACCATAGCGTGGTACCGCTAGATGTGACGGACAGCGTGCTGACCATAGTGTGGTACCGCTAGATGTGACGGACAGCGTGCTAACCATAGCGTGGTACCGCTAGATTCTCAGGAGAATCAACATGTGGTAACCTGCTACACACAACACAGGCCACTCGTGCTACACACGACACAGGCCACTCGTGCTACACACGACACAGGACAGTCGTGCTACACACGACACAGGACAGTCGTGCTACACACGACACAGGACAGTCGTGCTACACACGACACAGGCCACTCGTGCTACACACGACACAGGACAGTCGTGCTACACACGACACAGGACAGTCGTGCTACACACGACACAGGACAGTCGTGCTACACACGACACAGGCCACTCGTGCTACACACGACACAGAACAGTCGTGCTACACACGACACACAACAGTCGTGCTACACACGACACAGGACAGTCGTGCTACACACGACGCAGAACAGTCGTGCTACACACGACACAGAACAGCCGTGCTACACACAACACAGGACAGTCGTGCTATACACGACACAGGCCACTCGTGCTACACACGACACAGGCCACTCGTGCTACACACGACACAGAACAGTCGTGCTACACACGACACAGGACAGTCGTGCTACACACGACACAGGCCACTCGTGCTACACACGACACAGGCCACTCGTGCTACACACGACACAGGCCACTCGTGCTACACACGACACAGGCCACTCGTGCTACACACGACACAGAACAGTCGTGCTACACACGACACAGAACAGTCGTGCTACACACGACACAGGACAGTCGTGCTACACACGACACAGGCCACTCGTGCTACACACGACACAGGACAGCCGTGCTACACACAACACAGGACAGTCGTGCTACACACGACACAGGCCACTCGTGCTACACACAACACAGGACAGCCGTGCTACACACAACACAGGACAGCCGTGCTACACACAACACAGGACAGTCGTGCTATACACGACACAGGCCACTCGTGCTACACACGACACAGGCCACTCGTGCTACACACGACACAGGACAGCCGTGCTACACACAACAAATCAAACAGCTGTGTTGGCAGGTTTGCCCGTGTCAAACAGAACGTACGGGCCAACACTTGGCCAGCTCCTTGCCATGTTTCCATGATCGAAGTTTGCCTTGATGACACGCTTGTCAGTCTGTCGGTCTGTGGGTCTGTGTGTGCGTTAGCGGCGTGACGCGGGTCCTATGTTTATCACGCAAACGTCGGACGTTTTTTGTCGTCTGCCACTATTTTTGTTGTCGTCTGTTTGCAGGGAGTGGGTGGAAACATTGCTGTTGTACAGCGAGGGTTGGTACAGCGAGGGTTGGTAGGGCAAGGGTTGGTACAGCAATGATTGGTACAGCAAGGGTTGGTACATCAAGGGTTAGTACAGCAAGGGTTGGTACAGCAAGGGTTGGTACAGCAAGGATTGATACAGCATGGATTGGTACAGCAAGGGTTGGTACAGCAAGGATTGATACAGCATGGATTGGTACAGCAAGGGTTGGTACATCAAGGGTTAGTACAGCAAGGGTTGGTAGGGCAAGGGTTGGTACAGCAAGGGTTGGTACAGCAAGGATTGATACAGCATGGATTGGTACAGCAAGGGTTGGTACATCAAGGGTTAGTACAGCAAGGGTTGGTAGGGCAAGGGTTGGTACAGCAAGGGTTGGTACAGGACTGCTGGTACAGCAAGGGTTGGTACAGATCTACTGGTACAGCAAGGGTTGGTACAGCAAGGGTTGGTACATCAAGGGTTGGTACAGCATGGATTGGTACATCAAGGGTTGGTACAGCAAGGGTTGGTACAGCAAGGGTTGGTACAGCAAGGGTTGGTACAGCATGGATTGGTACAGCAAGGGTTGGTACATCAAGGGTTGGTACAGGCCTAGTGGTACAGCAAGGGTTGGTACATCAAGGGTTGGTAGGGCAAGGGTTGGTACAGCAAGGGTTGGTACAGCAAGGGTTGGTACAGCAAGGGTTGGTACAGCAAGGGTTGGTACAGCAAGGGTTGGTACAGCATGGATTGGTACAGCAAGGGTTGGTACATCAAGGGTTGGTACAGCAAGGGTTGGTACAGCAAGGGTTGGTACAGCAAGGGTTAGTACAGCAAGGGTTGGTAGGGCAAGGGTTGGTACAGCAAGGGTTGGTACAGCAAGGGTTGGTACAGAACTGCTGGTACAGCAAGGGTTGGTACAGATCTACTGGTACAGCAAGGGTTGTCTCAAGGTTGCTGGTACAATGTTTATGGTAATCATAAAGGTCAAAGTCTGCCGATAGTTGATGAGCTGTCACAAACAGATTGTACAAAGTCTGATTGATTTTTTCAGCTCACTGCGTGTGTACACGGGCTTGAGTAATATGATAATGATATGTTTATGTTATATGGTTGTTGTGATACATTTTGTTGAAACATTTGTACTCCCAATAAAAGAGTAACGGTTGAATAACACGTGTATTACATCGTATAAAATTGAGTGAAAGATGTATTAAAATAGTAAGTTTTATTAAAACCGTATAATTGTTGAATAAAAATTCTATTTAAATTGTAGAATTGTTAAATTAAAATTGTATTACTGCAGAATTAAAATTGTATTAAAATTGTATTACTGTTGAATTAAAATTGCATTAAAATTGTATTACTGTTGAATTAAATCTGTATTAAAATTGAATTACTGCAGAATTAAAATTGTATTAAAATTGTATAACTGCAGGATTAAAACTATTATTGTTGAATCAATATTATATTGCTGTTGAAGTAAAATTGTGTTACTGTTGAGTGATATTTGAATTAGAATCGAGTGTTTAAAATTGATTAACGTTGTATTAAAGATGCAAGAAAATTGAATGAACATGTACATACAAATGTTGTACCGTGTACACACCACACCTGCATGTACACCTGGAGTAATATAAACCTGCAGTAATGTACAACCTGCGTGTACACCTGCAGTAATGTACAACCTGCGTGTACACCTGCAGTAATGTACAACCTGCAGTAATGTACAACCTGCAGTAAAGTACAACCTGCAGTAATGTACAACCTGCAGTAATGCACAACCTGCAGTAATGTACAACCTGCAGTAATGCACAACCTGCAGTAATGTACAACCTGCAGTAATGTACAACCTGCAGTAATGTACAACCTGCAGTAATGTACAACCTGCAGTAATGTACAACCTGCAGTAATGTACAACCTGCAGTAATGTACAACCTGCAATGATTTGGAAAGGTGTTGTTGTAGGTTTTATTCTACCAATAAATTCGGTTTTTTTAACAAAGGTTATGATTGGTAGAGCTTATAAAATCTTAAATACTGTAAACTACATGTTCCATTCAAGTTTCATTAGAAAATCTTAAGATTTTGTTTTCATTCAAAATATGTGGAGAGCGAGTGGTGTTGGAGAAAGGGGGCGGGGGAGTGTGGTCGGTTTGTGAGATGAATATCACGTGGAGTGAGTAACGGGGGGGGGGGGGGTGGAGGGTCCCTTGTATTGAGAATTGACTTCATTCCCACGTGCAAGCTATTGAGTGGTATTTCAATATTTGAAGAGAATGAAGTGTTTAGCTGATTAGCATCATTTGGTTACCATGGTGACGAAAGAATACACGTGACGGCTACAAAATATATGCGTGCATAAAAATACTAAATGAGTATTTCTCCCTATATATATTTACATAGAATAAAAATAAGTTCACTAATTGCAGCTGATATCTCAGTGAGGGTAGCTCTAGTTATATCGCTACAAAGGATAAAAATAACTAATAACTGCTACAAACACCACCCTACGATTACACATGCCATAAAATGTGCTAGCTCATCTAATCGTTATGTATTGATTTCAGTGACATCATTGGAAATTCTACAAGACAGGAAGTGACGTAGTTTCGATTATTTTTAGAATAATTGTCATGGATTTTTTCCCAGCAATAGTTTTAATACCTTTTCCCTATTTAATGTTTTAAGAGTTAGTATCATTCTATTAAAGGCATATACATATTCCCTATCAATACATTGAATGTTACTATTGTTATTATTGTGAGAATATATCTAGTTCCATTTACATTTGTTATTTACATTTGCTACAATTACCTGTAGCTAGATCTATAGGTTTCTGACCTATAGATGTAGTTGAAATACTGCCATGAGCTATAGTTAGAGACCTACTACCCAACTACTAGTACTGCTGGTCTGAGTATTATGGTGAGTATCATGGTGTATCATGGTGTATCATGGTGTGTCATGGTGGTAACCTGGTGTGTATGATGGTGTGTATCATGGTAAGTATCATGGTGTGTATGTGTATCATGGTGTGTATGTGTATCATGGTGTGTATGTGTATCATAGTGTGTATCATGGTGTGTATCATGATGTGTATAATGATGAGTATCATGGTGAGTACTATGGTGTGTATCATCGTGTGTATCATGGTCTGTATCATGGTGTGTATCATGGTGTGTATCATGGTATCATGGTGTGTATGTGTATCATGGTGTGTATCATGGTATCATGGTGTGTATCATAGTGTCCTTCATGTCCCATCCGTGTGAAGCATGCAGTAAAAGTGTGAGCTGTGACTTACCATGATCGAAGCCAATGAACCATGTGGCGTAGTTGGCACCTTCCTTCCTTCCTCGAATCATCGCGTCAGTCCAACACCATGCTCCGACAAACTTGCTGGTCTGTCATACAGATCAGTACTCGTCTGTCATACAGCTGAATGTTGATCTGTCATACACCATCAGTCAAGTTTTGTGTAGCTGTTATAGCGCCATTGTTCATCAACCTCCCAACAGAATAACGAGTCTCCGATCAATTATCCAACACAAGGTACTCGAACCATAGTCAGTGATATATTTGCTTTCATCAAATAGTATTTAGGATTTGTGATTGTTTCATATAAAATATTTCACGATTTATATAAAACTGTGGGTGTACTCTAGAGGAAGGATAAAAACACGTTGTATGAACATACGGGCAGACACACGCGCATAAAGTAACGGGTTTCAGCAGGTAAGTGTGAGCACATGTTTAATACAGGTTAGCAGCGGGTTAGAGTAACGGTTCTGTGTTTACAACAACAACATTAAAGTCATCTACTCACGCCGTGGGTAAAGGTTTAGTAGATCTACTAGACCTTTGTACAATTACTAAACTGGATATCGAGTATGGCCTAACAAAACGAATCACAATAACTGATCAAAGTGGAACGATACAAGACGATACTTAAACAGCTGAATTACACGGACAAGATCCAAGCAACGATTCAATTACAATGTCCAGAAATAAATTTATAAAACACGTTTCATCTAAGCCTAGATTTCTAAAAAATATACACGCCATGAAAAAATGCTAAAACGTAATAAAATGCTAGCCAAGATTTACTCAATTGAAAAACGGAAATTCTACTAGAACCAAATGTACTAAGGCTAAATATAAGAACGTAAAATCTACAAGTATATTACAACTACATGCACGAACCAATGCTAAAGATAAGAACGTATAACCTACAATAACTATATAACAACTAAATGCACGAACTAAAACAATTTAATCAAACACAAACCACGAAACGTCCGGGCATGAAGGTACTTAACTCTAATGACGGGAGATAACCGTACATAAACACAATAGACGGCGGACAGTGTTTACCTGTAGCCACACGATGGTCGAGTTGCTTCCCTTTGTTTAATGAAAGTGCCAGAGAGGGGGTTATAGCCCCTGGCTCACGCAGGGAGATAGATGTTGAAGCGACCAGTCTACCACAAACATGCTTCACAAAGGTCAACAAAAAGGTTAAAAAAAAAACTCTTCACATCAGGTGAATCGGTTTCATGGCGGGGGAGGGCGGGGTGAGGTGTTGCAATGGCGCCAGGAACCGCACGTGAATGGAAGCCGGTAGCGCCAACCCAATTACACCTATTTACCAGATTAAGAGCTAACTCTGTAAGCCCTTGCATGCCGCTTACTTCCCCTGCCTTGTGGCGAGGAAATGGCCAGCGGAAACAGAACTAAACACCGCGACCATCCGGTGAAAAAATAAAACCTCCGACGTGCTCGCTAGACAAAATACTTGACACAAAGAGCTGTATCCACCAGATCTATGCTGCGCCCAGGTCAATGATTTTAAACAAGAAAAAAAAAATTGGAGTTCAGATGAGGGGAGGAGGTAGGGGGGGGGGCGAGGGTAGGGGGCGGGGGTGGGGCGGCGTTGAGTACAGGGAGCAGGGAGGGGTAATGTGAGATACCACGTGTGAACGCACAAACACATGTAGATTATGTAAGATAAGAAGGGATCAGGCCGGTGTAGATATATTAGAGACATTTTATTTTACAGGAGGAATTTTTTTTTACCTAATTTTATTTTACAGGAGGAATTTTTTTTAACTTTATTTTATTTTACAGGAGGAATTTTTTTTTTACCTACATTTTAGTTTAAAAGAGGAATTTTTAGTACCAATTTATTTTACGGGAGAAATGTTTTTTACATATATTCTATTTTACAAAGGATACTTTTAAAGGCATTTTTCTCACAGACGAGACGTTTTATTAATATTTTTACTGGGTCATTTTTTTTTCCAATGAGAGATAATTTATTTTTATTGTAAAGGATATATTTTAATCTATGTTTTATATATTTTACAGGAGAAATGTTTTTTTTTTTAAACTAAGATGATTCACGAAGCAGGAAATACGGGATATCCCGGAAAAGTAGCAACCCTGCCAATATTACATTTTACAAAGGAAACTTTTTTTTTCCCACGGATTAGATTTCCACCAACATTTTATTATACAAGAGAAATTTTATTCCTAGAATTCATTTTACGGGATAATGTTTAACTACATTTTATTATACAGGATACATTTTTAGCTACATTTAATTTTACAGGATACATTTTTAGCTACATTTTATTTTACAGGATACATTTTTAGCTATATTTTATTTTACATTTGTTGACAAACAATTTCTTTTTTATGGGGGGTCTACATTTATTATAGAGTAGGAAATGAGGAAAGTCAAATTACTATAGGTGGAGCTCAGAGTGGGGGAGAGGGAGTGGGGGTGGGGTAGCGGGTGGGGGTGGTGTAGAGTGTGGGGGTGGTGTAGGGGTAAGGTGTAGCAGTTACTGAATAAAATAGTGCCTGAACTAGATTAACACGAGGGATGTTCTGGGTTACTTGGTTTAAATGAATTAACGCCCGAGTCGAGAGAAGTTTTAATAAGACACGTTGTGCTGGATGATTGAAGTCTAGTGGAGCGTGGAATTAGGTTCAATGCTGACTACAAGGACGAGGACAATAAACGTCCGTACAATTCTGTACAATAGGTCGTTAGAGGGGAAGTCTACAAAGGTCGTGGTGGAGCTAAGTATAACATGAAGTATGACATGAATGGGGAGTTGGATACAACATGAGGGTGGGGGGTTGTGGGGAATAGCTCTTACCTAGACCATATTATTAGACCGTGTCTTCGCAAATGATAGCAGCATGAACTTTCATAAAGAAGAAACAAAAATTCAAGAGCAAACGTATATAGACTTCAGGTGTGAGCCGAAACGAATTATGAATTAAGGTAATTTTTAAAAGGTAATAACTTTGTAATTAGTTAAAACAAACAAAGAAATGTAGAAAAAAATGAATAAATTTTTTTTCTCCGATTCGCTGTTTTACCGTTCCATCTTGTACGCACGTCTATGTGTTTGTTTTCACAATTTTTTTCTCCTTTGTTTCTTTTTTTTTTTTCTGAGATAAAGGCAAAGTTCGGGAAAACCCGAAGAAAATCTCTGGTCTTAAGACAGAATGACCTCAGACGTGAACTGGAGGCTTGAAGGAAAAAAACCGATTCTCTAGGAATGTGTAGTGGCCGGAAGGGGAAACAATACAACTTTTTTTTTTGTTGGAAATTTCAAATATTGGGCTTAAAAAAAATACGGGGAATCCAGCATAGTTTCAGGATTTTAAAAAGTGTTGGGGCGTATGAAGATTTTACAATAGGTGCGGATCAAACAAGAAAATGTGAAATGGTTTGTCAATGTACACAAAAGTATAAACAGCGACTTCGTGAGTTTAAATAGATAAGACACACAATAAGGCTAAAGAAACAGTACCAAATGACTTGGTAGGAGTGTGTGTATACACGAAAGTATACTCGAAAGTTGAGAGTTATAAATCTTATGTAACCTATTACACCAGTTTTGTATAGATTACTTATGTAAGTCAAACAATCAGTGCATACGTTTTAGTACTTTTATAAGTAGTACAGTCTCGGTGCTATTTTGGGACGGGCAGTGTATGACAGGTAATATCGTATTGTGTATGACAGGTATTGTGTAGGGGCTTAAGAGATCGAACGTCCAGTGATTTATGTACAGGATACTCTGACACGCCAGGGTGATATAGGACAGAGATAAGAGACGTTCAAGTGGGCGGGTTCGATTCTAAAGTATCTGTATGTATTCAGTGGACAGGTACGACGTTGGGTGATTTTACTTATCGCTGAAGTTTAAATACGTCGACCAATAAGATGGATTTACTGTAGCTTGTAATAGTAATCATGTATAGTTCAAGTAACCTCTCATAAAAATTAGAATTTGATGCAATATGTTAAAACATTTGGGTTCATTTAGTGTAACGTGTTGTAGCTTTTGTGTATTAAATAATACAAATTGCGAGCAAAAAATAAATATAAATAAAATAAAAGCGAAAGATGGTTGACATAGTGTTGAACTAGTACATCTCTCTATGTAAAGAGTTCGCATTGTACTCCACATGAAACGGCGTAGTCCATTGTACGAACAAGTGACGTCATTTCTTGTTCAAACAAGGGAAGAGAATCCCCGATGATGTTGACACTCATTACCGAGTGAGATAGGGGAGAGGTAATTAAAGTTTAATTATTGTTTAGCTGAGAGGTCTGTAGAATGGGGTCAAGGCATCTAATTAAGGTATAAAAGCTAAGAGATAGAAAATATACTCGCACGAAGAACGAAAGCTAATATCAGTATAACAGTACTGGTATGGGAAAGAAATGTTAAATGTGAGAAGCACATCATTGAAGTTTATGCATGCAGTAATGGCTGAGTTGTTTAGGTAAGGCTAAACTATGCTACAATTTATTTCATATCTGGTCCGTTTTAATTCGCTTATTTTTATTAGCCACAAGGAAGAGACATACAAAGAAAGGGAAGCAATTAAAGAAAGACAACTTGCTATGAGAAGGAAAAAAAATGGTATTCAGATAACAAAAGTGTGAGTGTGTGTAAGGGGGGGGGGGGGGGGAGAACCAGGAATGGAAAAAAATTTTTAGAACAATGAGAATAATCTAGAGAAGATTGCTGCATGTTATTTATACAATCAGTGGGGCGGGATGGGGGGGGGGGGTGTATATGTAAATTTAGCGAATTTCTAGATTTTTGAAATTCTAAAAAAGAAATAAGCTGTTCCAACTTAGCGAATCATTGTGAACACATTAAATATGTACAATTTAAGAGAGACTGCTGCACACGTGTAGTAGACCTTAGCGTAGTTCTAGTGCATTTAGTAAAGGTGAGTCGCTGGTCAGTGAACAACCAGCCACAGCAACAACAACCAACCACAGCAACAACAACCAGCCACAGCAACAACAACCAACCACAGCAACAACAACCAGCCACAGCAACAACAACCAGCCACAGCAACAACAACCAGCCACAGCAACAACAACCAACCACAGCAACTACAACCAGCCACAGCAACAACAACCAACCACAGCAACAACAACCAGCCACAGCAACAACAACCAACCACAGCAACAACAACCAGCCACAGCAACTACAACCAGCCACAGTAACTACAACCAACCACAGCAACAACAACCAACCACAGCAACAACAACCAGCCACAGCAACTACAATCAACCACAGCAACTACAACCAGCCACAACAACTACAACCAACCACA